GAAATATTTCAGTTAGTGTGCAATGAATCTAAAATATATGAATGTTAAATTTTCATCATGACATTATGGAAAATAATGAACTTTATCACAATATGCTAATATTTTGAGAAGGACCTGTATGTGTTTCCTTGGTGGTCACCCTGCATCTTAAAAACAGTCACAGTCTGACTTTAAAATTTAATTGGTAGTTTCGGAGAAGAAAAATAAGTCTACATGTTTTACTTTTCCAAATGTATTTGGCTCTGAAATAAAGTAATAAAATTACTTTACTAAAAAGTTTGCATTTAGTATTTAAATTCAGAATTTCTTTCACAATAGATGAATTCAGACAACCATTCACCATCTTTACCTGCTTGTCATTGCAGGGTTGCAGGGGGGGCTGGTGCCTATCTCCAGCAGTCATTGGACGATTTGCAGGGTACACCCTGGGCAGGTTGCCAGACCATCATAGAGCAACAAAGACACCCATTCATACCTAAAGGCTATTTAGACAGTCCAATTAACCTAACAGTCATGTTTCTGGACTGTGTGAGGAAGCCGGAGACCCAGACAGAACGCATGCGTGGACGGGGAGAACATGCCAACTCCATGCAGAAAGACCCCAGGCTGGGATTCAAACCCAGAACCTTATTGCTGCAAGACAACAGTGCTACCAACTGTGCCACCGTGCAGCCTTCAGCCATCCATGTTAGTTTGAAACATTTCAAGTAAATATTGTTCAGGCCGAATCGTTCATATTTTCTCCAACATCTAACCTGTAATGGTGCCAGAAAAAATGAATGCCTTCTTGCATGACATAAGCAGCTGGAGGACATTCACTTAGTTGCACTCTGGAGCTTTGCTACAGGATGTCACCTACTTGTTCTCACAGCTCCTATAATCTTTGCATTATTTGAATAAAACAGTTATGAGCGTAACGTCTGCTCATTTGAAGGTTGTATGGGGCCCCTGCAGCGACATCAGCGCGGCTGTTATTGCAGCCATGTTGCACGGCGGTTTGCTGCAATAATACTGAGCAAGTCGCTGTGTAAGCAGTCACTTGGTGAACAGAATATGGGTTTTTTAATATTAAAAAAAATTGTTACAGTACAGTCAATACAGCATATAACTTTAAAATTGATTTTAATTCCATAAAGTTTTTACCTGATCTTTTATTGAGCCATCAATTAATCTATGCTCATTTTTTTCTTTTTAATTTTTACTTTAAAAAGATTAGAACTGCCGAGCAGAACCTTAAACTGGTTCTGAGTATATTCTGAACATGTATTTCATATTACATATAACTGTAGATGTAGACAAGACTTGCGGCACCGCTCTTCAACATAGGAGCTGCTAAAGTCGAGTCTTCAAGAACCAAAAACTAATCTGTTCTGTTCTGTTAAAAGCATTGAATGAATGACCACCTCAGCAGGTCCAGCTTGTCAAAAACCCACTCGGACCACTTTGCTGTCTGCAGCAGTAAGGTCACTTTAGCTTTCAATATTTCTTTGAGATCAGACGGTAAAGGTGATATCAGCCAGTGAAGAATGAGCTTCATCAAATTACGAGTTCAGTTTTTATTGAGGAACAGGTCTGCACAGGAAGTTTAATGTACGCTTTATCTGTGGATTTACTCACCAAGCCTTTATGTTTTATTGCTCCAAACCTAATTTCCCTTGCAGGAAAACAATAATATGGATTGAATTGTTTTGAACACTACAGGAGTAAGCTGAGTTTCCTGTTCCAGAGGCGCAGCGAAGAGGATTCTTATTTTGGCCGGGCTGTCTGGCTCTATACCACAAGAAGCGCCGGGTGTACGTGCCCTTTGAGAACATCTGAAACTGGACCTCGAAGGATTTGACCTGCTCTGACACACAGCGAATCAGTGTTCAGCTCCATCAGCATCTCCTGTCTATCGTTTTATGGCAGGAGTCAGAGGAGAGGAGGAAATGTGGGGTAAAGGTAAACCAGGAGGGGCAGAAGCTGAAGAACACTGTCTACATCAAGCTGCTGTAATCTCTGTATTATGTTACATCCACCCTTTACAGTCCAACTAACCCCTTCTGCTCTGCAACATGGGAACAGATGTTGTGGTCTGCAAAGATTATACTTTACTCTGCTGCAGCATGAGATTTAAACCCATGATAGGATAATGGAGAACTTCTTTTGAAAATCAACAGCAGCTGTTTACAGAACAAACTACATAAACTAAGATCAGGAAAGCCTCAGATCATCCATGTTCTGGTGTTTCAAACACATGGTGTAATAAATATAGCCAAAAAAGACTGGATTTAAGTCAGTGAGCATTGTTAACACTGGCGAAAGACGGAGTGTGTCCAGGAAGGTCCAGCAGTGCCTCCTAAGAACTCCAATAAACAATCACGTTACCACCAGTGCAGAGCTTCCTCAACACTGGTGAATGTATCTGCACAGACAATGAGGTGAAGGCTTTTGGACCACAAGGACATGGTTTAAAACCAGAAGTGTTTGGTATCTGATGTATTTTAAATTAATATTAATTCCTACTAATATGAGGAAGATCAAATATGTTTTCTCAAACTTAAAAAAGAGATTTGATAAGATAAAAGACACAAAAATGTTGACTAGATAGTCATAAATGTCTGTTTTCTACTGTTTGAATAAAAATTACACAGATGCAGATCAATTAGAAACATCATACCTAATTATCAGACACGTAAAAACTTTTCAGATCTTAGAAAAAAAATGGTTGCCATTAAACTGAACAGAAAATAATTTTTTTCTCTTTTTCTTTGTTAAATTACATTTTGCTGTAAGGATATTTCAGCCAAATATGGAAACTTAGCCTCCAAAGACACAGGTCAGTGGGCTGAATTGTATCTTAATTACCAAAAATAGATCATTTTTAGGACATTTTTTCTGCTATCGGCAGCAGCAGTGTGATATAGCAAACCTCAGCAAACCACATATACCTCCTGCATAATGATGACCGCACACACACAGGCTGGGATTTGAACCCAGGACCTTCTGGTTGCAAGGCAACAGTGCTCCCAACAGCACCACAGTGCAGCCGACGTAAATCCTCCAACCATAAGTGTAATTAAAAGGCGATACGGGGGCTGCTGGTTCTGTAGGGCAGATAAAACACCCTGACAGCTGAGGTAAAGATGACAGGAGGTCAGGACTTTATCACCGAAGAAAGACCCTTCTGCAACAAGGAGGAACTTGTTCTCTCTCCAAGCTGATTGCACTCTGTCACACCTGACATGATTAGCACTGGAGCCCGTAGGCCAATAAGATAACACTGATTGCTTGAAAAGGGAGAAGAAGGAGGAGACAGCTCAGAGGATTCACAGCCAACAGTAAGTCTGAGAGGTAAGCCCACAGACGTGGTGCCCGTTCTCTCTCTTCTGCACAGAACGAAGAATACTACAAGCACATTATTATAACTTCTTCAAGGGCAGAAGTAGTAGTAACAGTTTAGTTAACTGTCCAATAGTTTGTTAAATTAATGCTAATCACCGGAGCAACAACGTGAACTGCTTTAGTGAGAGACAAAAACATCAGTGGTGCCCTCTCAGCACGGTGGTCTAGCGAGGGATCGGACTTCAGGAGCCTTCGATATGCTGCAGCGTTCTGCTTACTACAACAAAACACCAGCACAGACATTCCTATTATCTAACTCAGGGAACAGCTGTGGCCGTTTCCTCAAAAACAACTCCATCTGCAGTCGGTGGACATTGTTTTGTAGTTTTTGAGTTTTATTTTTGCAGAATATCTTCACATTGCGTTAACTTTTCATGTTTCTTTCTTTAAGTCTTTATTTTAAATAAAATAGAGCAATCTGTGTTCCCTCTGATTCCCATTTTTTTCAACAGATTTTCTTTTACCTGGTGTTGAAATCGCCACTATAGGTGAAGATAAATTCTCTTGTACATGTCATTCATGCCTTACTTTACTCAAAGCTCTTTTCTGCTAAAGTTTTATTGTTGCCGCAACAAAGAGATTATTGCACAGTTTAATCCAAATGCCTAAAGCTTTAAAGGTTATTTCAGGCAAGGCTTTTTCTCCTTCCACAGCTATATTAAAGTAGATCCAAGTCAAATCCCAGAATGTCAACAGCAGCAAAAACAACATGTCCACTGAATATGGAAGTTCTATTTAAAAACATGTTCGTTCTTGCAAATGAAAGTAGGGAATTCACTTCTTTTTTTGTTTTAAACATCTAATTTTAAAGCGCAAACTAAGTATAAATGTATGTTTTTAGAACCTATAATAAAACACCCCCAGTTTTACTGTGTTTTAACAATTAATTGCACTCATATAATGTTACCAGATGAGGTTATAGGTAATTAAGTTTATGCAAACGTTATGAAAAGACTTTTTTTTTTCGGGACACTTTGAATCCTACCTTCTTCAGCATGTTGTACTTCTGTTAACCTGTAGGACAGGGACCCCCTCAGCTCCTCCCAGTTTGTTTCTGCTACACCAGCGTCTCCATCAGAGCAGCCTCCTCCCTGCCAACCAGCCGCTCTTTTCATCTCCCTGAATCTTTCATGCTGCCTAAAACAACAACAACACGCTCTGGAACAAAACCCGCTGACAGATCCTTCCCCTTGTCCTGCTGGGGGACACTGGTTCATCTCCACACCGGGGGACCTCTCACCGCTCTCCACATCGCACACCCCTGCTCTCTGACGGCCTGACCTGCCGTGAACTTCCTTGTCTGTCTTCTGTGCCTCTACCTTTCTGCTGCCGTGTCTTTCATCTTTTATTTGATCTCCTGAGTATTCCCTTTTCTCTGCCTCTCTGTCTGAAGCCAGTATCTCACACAACACAACACAACTTGCATGAAGCTTCATGTAATGGGATGAAGATGTTTTTCGGGTATGAACTACTCTCAAGATAGTTAACCTATTTTAAAACACTGAAAACATCATTAATGAGAGTTCCTGTCTTTACAGGGGTAAAGTCAAAGGGTGGATGCTATATTTGTCACTGAACGCAGCAAATGAAGTTATTAAAAATAATTCAGAAAGACATTTATCCAGCTACATTTAAAGCTAACCTGTCTCCCCAACATCTCAATGTCAGGAGCATTCAGCGTTAAATCAGGCATGATCTCCTTCATTGTTTGTGATGCAAGAGCAGGAAGGGGCGAATAACTGAAATAACCCAGAGCTGGGTTGTTTACTGTTTTTTTTCACATAACTTATTTTAAATGACTGGCACCAAGTTCCCTACGGATGTCTGAGTGACGAAGGAAGCTGCGACGGAAAAAAACGAGTGAGAAAAAAACTATTTTACAGCAATAGAACTACAACCAATCACAACAGCCATTTGAAAACTAAAATCTGTGTTAGTAGAGACATAATGATATCTTCAGCTCAAGAAAATGAAACATAATTTTTACCATTTTCACACACAGAGTACAGGTTTCACAAAGTATAACCTGTAATCAGTGCAGAACAGGTCAGTCCATGCTGGCCTGCACCAAGTGAAAGATTCCAACAAAGTGAGATATATATATATATATATATATATATATATATATATATATATATATATATATAT